CAATTAATCTTACGTCCTCTGATAGGAACTGAAATGCCAGTGACTACTGGAATAATCAACCTGCCCACAAAGGTCAACACGGAACTGATTAAAGGGAGTGCCAGGCTATCTGCTCAAGTGCAAACTGCTCAAATACAGCTGTTTATAATAATTCATACTTAGGAGCACTTACAGAACAATTATCTGTTAAGGCTTTGGAGGTTTTCTATAAAGAAACAAAGCTAGCTACTGAGTCCACACTAACTGTTCCAATACTCCTGCTTTTTTTTTTTTTTTTCCCCTAATTATTCTGATGACTAAGAATCACAACCAGACACTGGTACAAAGCCCACACAGCACTAAGGAATTCAGGGACCGGATGACTTTTATTTACAATTAACGTGTAACACGCAGTGACTGCCGGAGCGTCCACATGAACTGGCCTATTAAGTAGCTGTAAGACATGGCCATGAAAAAATACTAACACTATGAGATCCTTGCTGAATCACTACACAAACCTACAAACAACAGGGCATGAAGCACAGGGATTGGAAAATGAGGTAGTAAATTCACATTGCATCCATCCAGCTACCCAGGCGGGTATTCACATCGACATCAGCCACGCTAATCCAGCCCATGTCAACACCACTAAATTCAAATATTAAAGTAATAAAAAGTGCAACTTCACCGTTTCTCTTTTTCCCACTAGAGACATCCTTGGGGAAATATCCTTGCATGCACCGAAACTGGTATGACTTCAGTTCCACCCACATCTGGGCTCACTTGGGAACTAAATCCAGCACAACCCGTCTTGGGTCAGCCAGTGACCCCGAACAAAAATAGCTCTGGCAGAAAGCTGGATTTATGGAATAGGGTGGAGCCCATCCAAGCATAAGCCGAACAAACCCGCCACTTGAAGTTAATGATGGAGAAGCAACAATTTCTCCATTCTGTTCTGCGCGTGACGAGCACAAAGGTGACTCGTGCCATCTACGCAACGTGACAAAACGCAACGTGACATAATCAACCCTTGAACAGGTCAGAATCTCGGGTGTAATTTGGGTCTGACATAATTGAAAACGTATCAGCAGCAAGAGTTAATTACCGTCTCCAAAGCAGTAAAAATAGGAGAAGCAAATGTTGCTTGAGAAGTGTAATAACACCAGCGGCGAAGCTGGATCAGCAGGCCAGGGCCACCGCTCTACCAGCAGCGTCAATCAGGGCTTAGCAGAATTTAGCAATTTTACTGAAAAGCCACACTTTTGGTAAATTCAGATCAGCTTTCCCAAATGTCCCAGTGCAGACAAGCCTAAAGTCAGGGGATCATAGCACCAAGGTTAGAAAAATTAACGGTATCAACTTTTTTTTAACAAAAGAGTCTTCTGCCCACAGCACAGACACAAGACAACCTTGAAGCGCAGGCAGAACTCTGCCTGCAAACTGCAGATTACGGCCGAAGCAACGCATGTGTTCTCATGCAGAAGAAACCAGACTTTGAATTGGTGTCACAAGGAAAAGCCTGTGCTTAAGTACCAGTGACCAAGGCATCAGAGTTAAAGGGACACCTGATGGCATATTAGATACAGCAGGGATGTCCACACAACATCCTTAGGCACGATCAGCACCCAACAGGACAGAAAAAAAACCAAACACAACAACAACAAAAAATTCAAACTACATATCAGTTGTAAGGATCCAGAATTGCTAGCTTGTTCTACTCATCCTCTTTCATACAAAATTAGCAAAGTCTACCAGTGCACGGCACCTCTCAATTAATTGATTCCTAAACGCAACCAACATGCTACATTGATCTTTAAGTTATCTAACAATCCGCTTCCAATACTTCATTTAAATTTCTAGTACACATTAACCAAAGAATAAAAACCCCAAGAACAAACTGCTACGTGCAGGTTTCCTGCTAATTACAATGACTTTGTTTGTAAGCCCTTTGTAATACAATTAGAGTGTCATGGCGTGCACAAATGAGAAACAAATTCAAGCTTTTAGAGGCACCGCAAAATTTATTGAAATCTGACGTTTCCTCATGTTCAAAGCTCAAATGTTCATATTATGTTTTTCATAGCATTTAAACACAAATGCCCTCCCTACCCAAACAGAAATCCAAAATATAAGATAAAAAATAAGATTAAATATGCTGGTTGTTATTGTATCTGAGCCCTGAATTTGCAGCCCCACAGAAGACAGGTACACCCCGGTAGCCACTTGCGTAGCACAACGATTCCTGAGCACTCAGCGGCTGATGCAGCCAGACCTCAAAATCTACAGATTTCATCCGGAGGAGACAACACAGTTGCCTGAAAGAGTTTAATTTTCTCCTTCCTCAGTAGTAGTTACTGATTTCAACTGTCTTCTCCAGAACACAAGTGGCAGGAGGGGAGCAGTCTTTAAAGCCTGAGTAAAACAGGCGCAGCCAATAAGTCACATTTTCATCCCAAAGGCTTCCCTTTGGTAATTATCAAATCCTTGCACAAGCAGGGGCATAAGAGTTTATCAGGAAGAGCTCACATGAATCTTTTATAACGGAAAGTGAAAGACAGCCGCAGACTTAGGGCCCCCACCGGCTGTCCTCTCTATCAGTGCTGCTCAGGATTTAATTGTACTTCACAGAGAAAACAGGGATGAAAAAGCCGAACTTTCCAAAGCCCACTGCGTCTAGAAGGGAAATAAAACCATAAAGATCACAAAATGTTAACGCAGCGAGTTTGCACAGGTGAACGGCTGTAATGCTCTTACGGGGCTGGAGCAACCTTGGACTTGGTGACTTTTACTGCTGGGGTTTTTTTCCATCTTAACTTTGCATGCGTGTCAGCGGAGGCGAGATACCTGTACGAGGTGGAGACTGAAGCAGATGAGGTCTGATGAGCAGGAGAAGCGGGAGGTTTTCCAAAGGGGTGACAGAAAGCCCTCACGGACCCAGAGGCAGGGCTTGGTGCTCCCTGGGCACCCTCATACTCACCTGGCTCTCCTGAGTAGCTCCATTTCATAGAAAATTCCCCAGTTTCGTGCTGGGTTTGCTCCACTGTGGAGCTGGCAGGCAGGGGCCAAGGCAAGGCAGGCTGAGGGGGCCGCTGCCCGCGACGCCTCCCTCAGCGCGGGGCCGGTTCAGCTCACTGAACCGGCACGGCGCACCCCCTCCCC